CAGGAAGTTGCTTGAGCTCAGGAGTTTGCGACCAGTCTGAGTAAGAGCAGAACCTGTCTCTCCTAAAAGTAGAAAAATAGCTGGACATTGTGGTGAGCACCTGTAGTCCCAGCTACCACGGAGGCTGAAGCAAGAGGATCACTTGAACCCAGACGTTTGAGGTTGCTGTGAGCTATGATGATAGCCTAGGCAACAGAGTAAGACTCTTTCTTAAAAAACTGTAAACAGTCTCCTACTTTTCCAATTATATGTCTGGGTCAGACTGGGTTTTCCTCTCATTTTTTTTTCTTTTTGAGACAGTCTCATTATGTCACCCTCAGTAAAGTGCCATGGTGTCACAGCTCACAGGAACCTCCAACTCTTTGGGTTTAAGCAATTCTTTTGCCTCAGCCTCCCAAGTAGCTAGGACTACAGGTGCCTGCCACAATGCCCAGCTATTTTTTTGTTATTGTTGCAGTCATCATTGTTGTTTAGCAGGCCCAGGCTGCGTTCAAACCCACCAGCCTGGGTGTATGTGGCTGGTGCCATAACCACCGTGTTATGGGCACAAGCCTTTTTTTTTTGAGACAGAATCTCATTTCATCATCCTGCGGTTGAGTGCTGTGGCATCATTAGAGCTCACAGCAACCTTAAACTCCTGGGTTCAAGTGATCCTCTTGCCTCAGCCTCCCAAGTAGCTGAGACAACAGGCTCCTGCCATAATGCCCAGCTAGTTTTTCTATTTTTAGTAGAGATGGGGTCTTGCTGTTGCTCAGGTTGGTTTTGAACTCCTGAGCTCAAGCAATCCACCCATCTTGGCCTCCCAGAGTGCTAAGATTACAGGTATGAGTTACCTCTCCTGACCTGAGAACTTTTTAGTGACAATTCCAGAAATGGAGTCTAACAGGTATTTTAACTGAGAACGGGGATGGGAGGAGAGGGAACTGCAGGCTCTGTGAGTCTGGTTATTAGTGAGGACTCAAGTTCACTACCCCTCAGTCTGAGGCCTCCAAGCTTCACCAGGGAGAGGGAGAATTCACATTTCACATCAAACAGGCCGAGGCCACAGGGAGCTAGCTGCTCCCCTGGTGTAGTCCAGAAACCGGTGTTTGTGCTGCTGTGGAGCTGGGACAGGAACGCCAACAGGAGAAAAGCAAATCGTGGGGGGGGGGGAAACAAACCTAGTTAAAGCTGTCCCCTTCAGCATTCTCTCAACTGGAAATTTCCAATTTTGACATTCCAGTTAGTTTTTAATACATCGAAAAATATATTCATCTCTTCTGCGTGAGCCATTCTGAGCACACCACAGTCGGGAGGAGGGGAAACTATCAAGGTGAGCTGGCGAAAATAAAACCCATTACACTAGGAAATCGCAGGAGAAACGATACAGGTCGGCCAGACTTTATAAAGAGAGACAAAACAAGATTAAAAAAAAAAAAAACAAAACCAACAGAACTGAAGAATGTTTACATTCTTGTAACCACAAATGTGAAGTGAGCTCAGAACCCAGTGGGGGTTTAACAAAATAGAGTTAAGTTCAAAGAGGAGGCTGCTCTGTGCATAGTCCCCTCCTGGTTACCCTGGCAATGAAACATCTGCCTTACAGTAATGAAATCATTTTGAGGAGAAACCCGCAAGCAAAAGAGAGTTTCTGGGCCGGTAGGCTTGCTTTTGGTGGTAGTGTCTGCCTGCAGTGGCCTCTGTTTCACTCAGTGACACAAGTGTGGTAGAAAACCTCTATTACCTGGGACTGCAAAGTCACAAGAGCTTAATCTCCTGGAGGCCTGCCTGAGAGTCCTGGCGTCAGACACTTGCACCCAGGAGGGGTTTGAGGGAACTGAACCTGGAGTCCACTCCATAGCTGGCTAATTAATTCCTGAGCCTGTCATGGAGATGGCAAAATGAATTAAGACGAGATCCAGGTCCTCAAGGTGAGGACAATTAGCTGTGATATAGGCTGAGTTGACGAATAAACACAGGACCTCTTTTCTTCATTATTTTTTTTCTGATATAGGTCATGTTTTTATAGAAAGAAACTTAGCAAATGTGAAATAAGCAAAAGGAAAAAACTAAAGTCATTCTGAATCATACTGGTCAGAGAGAAGCCTGTTAATAGTAACATTAAAATGAGCTATCCTGAAAAGCGCTTAGGAGGTTTGGATGATTTCAGAAAAATGACTTAAAAAATGCTTCTATGCTCTAAGATAAAAAATACATATATATCATTAAATGTAGATCTTTTCAGGCTGAGCGTGGTGGCTGATGCCTGTAATCCTAGCCTTCTGGGAGGCCAAGGCGGGTGGATTGCTGAAGCTCAGGAGTTCAAGACCAGCCTGAGCAAGAGAGACAGGTCTCTAAAAAATAGCCAGGTGTTGTGGCAGATGCCTGTAGACCCAGCTACTCAGGAAGCAGAGGCAAGAGGATCACCCAAGTCCAAGAGTTTGAGGTTGCTGTGAGGTGTGAAGCCATGGTACTCTACCCAGGGTGACAGAGTCAGACTCTGTCTAAAAAAAAAAAAAAGTAGATCTTTTCACATTTTTATTATGCTTGTGTTAGAAAAGACATATATGCTCTCTCTGCATATACTTTTTTTTCTGAAACAGAATTATACCACATATAATATTTTACCTTTTGGCACTTAGCAATACACCAGAAGTATCTTTGCAACTAGTCCATATATATATATATATATATATATTATATATATATATATACATACACACACATTGGCATCAACATATTTAATATTTGCATTGCTTCCATTATTTGACCTTTAAATAATTGAACCAGCCAAGGTAGAGAGATGGGGAGGTTGCTTTCCTTCCCCTCAAGTCAAATGAAGGCGTCCCAATGGCAACACTCACTGCAGTTTGCAGAGCCGGCACTGGTGTCAGATCCCGCTGGAGGACAAATGCAGGCTGGCTGGCAGCTGAGGGATGAGAGAAAGAGGAGGAAGGCTGTACTGAGAGCAGCCTCAGTACAGATCAGATGCTTGATCATCTCCCGTGGACCTTACTCTCAGAGAAACTGGCTGCTGGGTGATGACATCAACATAAACGTTGCCACAGGTAAGGGAGCCCAGACTTTATTCTGAAGCTAATGAGGACCCATTGGGAGGCTGAGGGAACGGTGTTGTCAGAGCCTCACTGTAGGAGACGAATCTCATTGTGAGTAAGACAGCTGAAGGGAGGGGAGACATGAGGCCAGGAAATCAGTTCTGGGCTGTTATCAAAGTCCAAAGACAAATGTTCCTTTCCTCCACCGGAGTTAGAGGATATAGTCACATAGATGTGAATCAGTCATATCACTTTCCTCAGTCTTAGTAGTTCATCAGTAACGTGGACTTAAAAACAACCCCGAGGGGTAATGAAAATGCTGTGAAACTTGGTAGAGACTTTGTACTTGGTTGTGCAGCACTGTGAACAGGCTAAATGCCACTGAATTTTATATTTTCAAATGGTTAATTATATGTTATGCAAATTTAACCTCAGTTAAAAAACAGAATAAACCCAAAGTTGTTATAAAGATTAAATGAGTCTGATGTGTTTGCTTGACTAGTCACTCTTCTGTGGGCAAATGTGAAACTAACTTTATTCCCATCATTGCATTAACCCTCCTTGGCTTGGATCCTTCCTTTGGCTTAGAGCAAATAACTTAGTTGGGTCCTTTAAGGTTTTCTAGGCTTGTAGTTTGACCTGATTATTAAAATTCAATCACTGTATAGTTTTAAATTTCAATATTCTTCCTGCTCTCAGTCCTGCTGTGTCTCTGCAGGGTGGGCCTGTGCCTGGCTGCGTGGGGTGCATGTGAGGAGGGCGCAGGGCTGGGAGAGACAAATGACAGGGAGACTGCATTACTGGCTCACAGTCACTTTCCTGGGGCTTCCCCTTCATGTGTCATCACCGTCTGGCTCATGGCCACAGCCTCATGCTGGTGCTGCTGGAGAGAGGAGGACCAGCTCAGGGGTTCCCTGAAACGATAATGTCCACGTGGGTGCTAGGGCAGCACTCAACTTGGCCTCTGCTATGGAAGGCACCAGCGGGGCCCACCTCTGTGCTGGTGTCGGTGTGGACTGGCTGTCCCTTCAGAGCTCCACTTGATGCTAGCTCAGATGAGTGACCACCAGGCAGCTTGAAGGTTCTTGCCTCCCTGTCCCCAAGACCCAGCTAATGTCTGTGCTTTCTTTTAAGGGTTCTTTCCCATGTCCTTCCGATGCCTGGTCCCCTGCTTCTCAGGGTGAAGCTTGGCAGCTAGCCACTAGGTGACAGACACATTGAAATCCTCCCCCCTCTTTTCATGCTCAATTTTTCATTGATTCCAGGCTATCATTTTCTTTCACTGACTCAGTAAGGAGAGATGACTTCTGTGGTTAATGGCTCTTCCCTCATTTGTCCCTGGTCTGTCATTTTCATTACTTGATGGGCTTCCACAAAGACAGTCCTAGAGGAAAAATGGATGGCAGAGAGAGAGGAAAAGGAGGTCTTCTTAACTTTTGTCCCCAAGCCAGACCTTGTCAACTGAAACACATCCACCGGCCCCCGAGGTGTTTGCCCACACTTCAGACATTCTGGCTTTTCTAGAAGAAGCTGTCCTAGGAAGACAGACGTAAAAAAGTTAGGGCTTTTTGGACTGGGATTAGAAAAAGAAAAGGCTAAGAGAGGCCAGTTTCAAGCCCCTTGCCCTGCTCCAGCCAGAGCTCAAAATGTCTATGATGGTGAAATCACAGTTTAAGAAATGGCAGTGTCCCCTTCACCTGCAGTGACCTGCCCTCCTTTCTTTCATGAAGAGCTTCTATTATACCTCCAGGAAGCTTTGCCCATCTCCCCCACCCCAAGGAGAAGTTAGGACTCCCTGCTGTGTGCTCCTGAAGAGGCTGTGGGAAGGGTCCACAAGCTGTCAGGTGTGAAGGGTGAATGCTCAGGACAGTGCATCCTGCCTCTCCCCTGCAGGAGTGTCACTGGACATTGTGTGCGTGTGTCTGAATTGGCACTCGAAGCTACAAAGCACTATTAAAAATGTTTGTGGTCACTTCGGCAGCACACATGCTAAAATTGGAACACTACAGAGAAGACTAGCATGCCCCTGTGCAAGGATGCCAGGCAAATTCGTGAAAAATTCTGTATTTTTTTTTTTTTTTACATCTTTTGTATTAACCTGGCTGGAGTTGAAACACATTCTTCCTAGTAAAGTAGCACAAGAATGGAAAAGCAAATATCCAATGTACTCAACACTAATACGAAGCTAGTAGACTAATACATGCCCACATAAGAGAAAAAGTCGATTCAATTCAAGTTGGAGAGAGGGGGAATGGGGGCGGGGGGGAGAAGAGGAGGGGGATTGGTGTGCTCCCACTTAATGGGCACAATGTAAGGGTATATGGCACAACTTTGGGGTGGGAGACACAAGAGGGACTCTACCTAACATATTGTAATCTAGTTGTTTGTACCCTCACATTAACCTGAAATTAAAAATAAAGTAAAATGAAAATAAAATAATGCCTATCTGGCTATGTTCAGTTGCTTGGCCTTGGACCTGAGGTGTGAGCTCTTTGAAAATACAGATGCTTGGCTTGGCGCCTGTGGCTCAAACGGCTAAGGCCCCAGCCACATACACCTAAGGTGGCAGGTTCGAATCCAGCCCAGGCCCACCAAACAACAATGACGGCTGCAACCAAAAAAAAAAATAGCCGGGCATTGTGGTGGGCATCTGTGGTCCCAGCTACTTGGGAGGCTGAGGCAGGAGACTCGCTTGAGCCCAGGAGTTGGAGGTTGCTGTGAGCAGTGATGACACGGCACTCTACCCAGGGGGACAGCTTGAGGCTCTGTCTCAAAAAGGAAAATACAGATGCTTTACTTAAAAGAAGAAGAAAAGGAAGAAGAGGAAAGAAGGAGGAGGAGGAGGAGAGTCAATACCTAGCACAAAGTAGGCACTGATGGACATGGAGGGCAGGGGGACTCTCTTCACACAGGCTGCTGAGCAGGAAGGCTGGCCACTAGCTCTTTGGAGCAGCCCCACAGCTGGCTTTGCTGCATTGAGGTCCTGGATGGCTGCTACATCTTTCCTAGGGGACTTCCTCACCTGCTACTCAACTTGACAGATTACTGGCCCCTCTTCCCACTTGTTTACCCAGCACTGGGCCATGACCTGTTTCCCTCAGTTCCTCCTACCACCCACTATCAGCTTCTCCAACTAGACCAGTCATTGCTTCCCCAGCGCTAACCACTGCATAACTGACCCATATTGTCCTATGATGCCATGCTTTGGGCCTACCGTGTGTCTAAAGCTCAGTCAGTCGGTGTCAGATTTAGGGAGAACATCACTGCTGGGCTGTGAACTGATGGGCTAGTGGTAGAAGAAAGTGTAGACCTGGGGTCGAATCCAGCTTAGCTGCTAACTAGCCGTGTGACCATAGCCAGTGCTGAACTTTGAATCTCAGTTTTCTCATCTGTATATGGAGATTTAAAAAAAAAAAAAATAACTCTATCTCATTGAGTTGCTGTAAACAGTAAATACTGTGACATATATGAAGCCTCTGGTCCTCTTGGGCTTGACACATGGCAAGTTCTCAGTAAGTGTTAGTTTCCTTCCCTTCCTCTTTTCCACAAAGACCTCTTCCAAGTCTAAAAGTCCGTAAGCCTTGGAAACACATGTTCCCTTGTCAAACTAGAACTTGCAAAGGTTGCCAAGCTGCTAGAAAGTTTATCTTTCTAAAAGCAACAAGGATCCTAGGCAATAGAGACAGCCTCTGTGTCCCACATTACCCTGGAAAGGATTCCTCATTCACAGTCCAAAGTCCGACAGATAAGGAGGGGATGTCATAGGCAATCAGGGTTGACGAAGGAGATGAAGGCAGATTCAGTCTACAGAGAAGCTGCGAGTGAATGGAAGGCCAGAGAGCCCTGGGGTTGGCCCCTGTGGCTCAGAGGGACAGCAGTAACCTGAGAGTGGGTGAGTCTATAAACAGGGAGCACACGCTCAGCCAGGATTCCTCTGCTTGGCCACGGTGGAGCCTCCCACGGAAACAGAGGGGCAGCACTGAGGGCATGGAGATGAATGGGTCGATTTGGGAGGTGCCAAACTGAATGCAGAGAGGAGGGGAGTTGGTAGGGTTGTCCTGCTGTTAGCCCTGACAGCAGGGACCTCAGAGCAAGGGCACCAGCAGCAACAGCAGCAAACCTGGGCTGTAAAAATGCAGATGAGCAGGTCTAATGAGTCAAACTCTGGGCTGGGACCCAGCAATACGTGGTCTAATATGCCCTCTGTCTGATTCAAATGCACACTGAAGTTTGGTCCACTGACTTGGTGGAGGCTTTTGTTCGTTTACCTGAAACTTTCCTCCCATTTTGAGGTGGTCGGAGATGCCATGCTACTGGAATTGTCAAAGCCTCTGTGGACAAGAAGATCTGAGTTCAGAGCCTGGTCTCCCTCTGTGTAGCAGTGTAGCCTTGGAGAAATCCATCAACCTCTCTGAACCTTGATTTCCTCACCAGGCTGTGGTTGGGTTTAGAGAACGTAAGAGAGTGTTTTGCAGAATCCCTGGCACAAAGGAGGTGCCTGGCACCCTCGCGATCATCATAACTACCATACCTATGGAGAAGCAGCGTCCCACCCCCCACTCCCCACAAGCGAGAGAACTGTAGAAGCCTTAGAGGCCTTCGGGGAAAATCACCCAGCCACACAAGGCTCACCTGGCTTTGCAAGTGTTTCACACACTGTTCAGATGCTCCTCTATGCTACTTATCACCTGGCTACCTCCTTACTAAGCTAGGAAGACTTAAGGATAACATTTCCTTTTCAAATTTGATGAGCAGCAAATCCCTATCTAATTTGGGTATACCAAAGGAAACCCCAATGGGAGAAACCACTCTCAATATAAACCACGATGTTTTCCCACCCTCCACCCTCCCCATCTTCCTTTTAGATAAGTCTCTTAAGCACACAGTAGCACCGGGCAAATATTTGTTGAGTGTGGAATGAGTGGATTGGCTCCATTTGACTTTAAAATGCCCTGCTGTTGTGCAATACAAAGAACCAGGTCTGTGAACAAGCCTTTAGCCTACTGAGGTAGAAATGGGATAGGACTGGCTCCAGCACCGACATGGGCAACACATTAAAGTCTTGGGGATCAGACACTGAGGGGACTGTATGAGGTTAAGTTGGCCAGGACAGGTAATACAGGTGGTTTTCTGAATTTACAATAAAATGCCTGGTGGGCCCTCAATCCCTGGCTGTACACATGTCCCTGCCCACCTCTGCTTCACCTTGTAGATCAGCTGGGGGCTTGCCCATGCTGAGCAGCCAGGTGTCCCAGGCCTCTTTGGTGCAGAGCACCCCAAAAGCTTTGCCAGTTTGCCTCGGGGCAGTGCACGCACAAATACTTGCCTTCTAGTTTTGGCCTAAGGGCATTCATTAATTCAAGCCCTCAGCATCTTCTTTCACCCTCAGATGCCACAACAGTCACCTTATGGGTGGCCCAAACTCCCATCCTGCTCTTCTCCATTCATCCTCCTCACCATCTATAATATAGTATCACGTCATTGCCTCCACCTCTGCTTACAGGATAAAGCCTCAACCCCTTGGCAGGATATTTAGGCTCCTTTGCAATTTAGCCTCAACCTGTGTCCAGTGCTCATAGCCAGTGCCCCAGCCACACCTGACTCCTGCCTGTAAGTGTCCTTCTCATTCATACTGCCCAGCCACTGCCTAAAAGCTCCTTTCCCCTGTTGTCTGGAGGACTCTAACACCTCTTTCCAGAGGTGCAGCTCTGTGAAATGGGCACACCAGTATTGTGGAGAGCAGGGGCTCCTCACAGGCCTGATCATATCCTTGAATTCCTGGCCTCGAGTGATCCTCCAGCCTCAGCCTCCCAAGTAGCTGGGGCTTCAGGTGTGTGCCAGCTGAATGGTTTCTGGAGTCTTTACTCAGCTTGCAATTAATTCCCTTTTCCTTCTCACCCACACATTCCCAGTCTCCTTCAAGACACGGCTCTACCGTTGCTTTTAAATTTAAAAAGAAATGATTTTTGACCTAATTTCAGAATTACAAGAGAGTTACAAGAATAGTACAAAGAATTCTTTCACAAACCTGACTCTTTCATCCAGAGTTCCTAAATATTAACATTTTCTCACATGTGCCTTGACCTTCCACCTATCTATGTACTGTGCCTAGATAATTTTATGTCTTCCTGAACTGCTTTTGAGTTATTTACAGACTTTTTTTTTTTTTTAGAGACAGAGTCTTACTTTGTCACCCTTGGTAGAGTACCATGGCATAATAGCTCACAGCAAGCTCAGACTCTTGGGCTTACATGATTCTCTTGCCTCAGCCTCCCAAGTAGCTGGAACTACAGGTGCCTGCCACAACACCTGGCTATGTTTTTTTTTTTTTCAGAGACAGGATCTCACTCTGGCTCAGGCTGGTCTCGAACCTGTGAGGTCAGGCAATCCACCCACCTTGGCTTCTCAGAGTGCTAGGATTATAGGCATGAGCCACCGTGCCCGGACTATTTATAGACATTATTCCCCCATTCCTTCAGTGTGTATGGTTTTCTAAAACCAGGGACATTTTCTTATGTAATTGTAGATAATTATCAAAATTAGGAAATTAATGTTGATAACAACTATTATCTAATCTATAGATGTTATTCGGATTTTACAAATTGTCCCAACAAAGTTCTTCAAAGCAAAATACAGTGCCAGATCAGGTATCACATTTAGTTGCCAGGTCTAGTTACTATCCTTTAGTCTTGATCAGTTACTTGGTCCTTTTTTGTTTTGCTTGTTGTGATAATTGACATTTGTGAAGAGTCTGGGCCAGTTATCAGTAGAACATTCTTCATTTGGGGTTTTATGTTTCCTTGTGATGAATTCATGTTGGACCAACTCAGCAGGGATATCCCAGGAGAGATGCTATGTTCATTTTGATGAGTCTTATCAGGAGGTATGTGTTGTCAATTGGTTCCATTTCTGATGATGTTTACATTAGTCAATTGATTAATATGTTGATATGTGCAAGTCCTCACCTGGTCCATCAGGGCCTTCTCAAGGTCAAAGAGGGACTCAGCCTGATTCATCTTGGCATTGGGATGCAGGGAGATGAGGAACAAATATCTACTGGACCCTCCCATG